GTTGGGTGTCTGGCTGACGGTGAAATGTAGGAGATCGTGTCAGGATGAGATGATAAACTGTGGGCTTTCATGCTCCCAGTCAGCTTCAGAGGACTACAGAGGACGGAATAAATTGTAGATATGTTGTTGAAGTCCTAGGTTCCACTCAGAACACACGGGAACAACAACAATAATAATCATAAAGTAATAATATTGAAGTATCGACACATTACATTTCCAAAGGCATATCAATGAGACATAATATGCACTAATATAACACTAAACTAAATATTAGATACATTGGGCGGAGTAAGATAGAATTCATGGATTTCGAGTGTGAACAGCAGACTGGAGTTGTAATAGTGGTTGAACGTGTTTCTTCCACACGTAGAGTTACTCTTGATTTGAGCGAATTCTGATAGCTTGGAATGTTTGAAGTGTTTAGCATCCATAAGTCTCAAGTAACATATTCCATACACATCAAATGATAGAGAAGGAGTGTTTAATGTGGCATGTTTGAATTAGGTGATCTAATATTGAAGTGTTAATGGTTCAACCTCACGTTTATTTAGCCGGACTTGTAGGATTTTCCAATTAAGTGGGACTAATTTCGTAGAGTAACGACCTATATAACTGTTTCTATTTGAGCAGTTGAACAGATAGATGTAATCAGAGGTAGCTGTTCTGCTCTTTCAGTATAGGAATGACAATCAGTTGTGTAGAGTATTTAAGCTGTAGTGTACCGTCATCGAACTTTCTTTTATTAGATTTTGTCAACTTTTTGGTTAGTACTTCATTTCAAGAACATTCCGAAATAATATGGTCATCATTTATTCAATGTTGGGTTTTAAATTGTTTATTTTTTTATTTATGATTACAAATATGGAATTTTCAGCATGGATATCGGTAGGTCAAATTTTGCAGGCCGATCATTGATATCAGCTGTGCGTCGGCAGGGGATCGAACCTTGTACCATGTACATGGTCGGCGAGAGTCCTAACTGAGCCACCGACGCAGTGGCTAACTGAATGCTAACAATTTCATTTAACTCATTCGGATTCAACGGATTATTATGGAATTATGCAGAGAAATTACCTGCTGAGAAATATTTTTCAGTCATTCTTCTTTATATTCAACCACTACACCATCTAGTGGTCTATGAAGTGCGAAGATTATCATATATGCCTACTGTATGGCTGTGTTAAATGAAATCGGTCAATAATGTTTACAATATATGATCAGCAAGCTAAGGGTTCGGTCAGTGTGATCTATTTTATATTGATGATTAAGGGTCTTAGGTAGGGGACAGAAATCTCTGAACTCCAAACTTTGTTCTAACTGATACTGACCAGCAGGGTGTATCTGTACTCGTGCTGCGCAGTGCAGCTTTTAGTTACACTGGTATTGTGAATTTTGGTCAAAATTTTCAAACCAGTAACTCATACTGACATTAATATTTGTCTGACTTTTTTTAAGTTCTAATATCTCCGGTTAGGTACTGTTTAAATAAATTGTTTCATAAAGATTATTGGTATTGTTATTATTATTATTCTTTTGGGTTTTGAGTAGAACATACAGCTTCAATCTGATATCTCGATTTTCGCATATTCTTTGAAGAATTTTTTATATTACAGCTTGATTCAACACCGTATTTTTGGTACAGGTGTGGAATTTTCAGCAGGTGATATTGGTAGCCCAAAATTCGCAGGCCGACCATAGATATCACATGTGCTTCGGCAGGGGATCGAATCCCGGACCATGTACATGGTCGGCCTGGCCTCACAATTGCTCACAGACTCTTGTCTCCTCCGCACACGATCGCATCCATGTCACTAAAATACCAACAACCAAGTCTTCGTTCTTCATTCGAGTTCCACTCAAGCGATGGACTACCTCACCAGCCTCCTAACCAGCCAGCCATTTGACCTTCATTATCGAGTCATGGAAGGAGGCAGGTATTGATGAAAGTTGGTGGTTGACTGTTCGAATTGCTTTTCATGACGCGTAATGCTAGTTTCTAACCCAATGTGCAGGAACTGACTGACCTAATACTGGTGTTAAAAATGTAAATTTTGTTCCACATGCTAAGTGAATGCAGGTGATTTGCCAACCAATTACAGACTGATGAAGGTGTGTATCTCTCGCCTTTCCAATCCTCATTGATTTTGACATTCTCATCAATGCTGCCTGTAGGCAGGATACAGCATAGCTGATTATAATTTTCTTGATTAAGATTGCAGGCAATGAGCAATATCAGTGTTCATGCGTTTTTTAAAACTATTTCCTTTAAATAACTTTACTATCTACCAGTCGAAAGGAGAGGGTGGCTGACATTTTCTGGAATAGATTTCTGACTTTAGAATGTTATAAGCCTTTCCTACCTTTTTCAAGGTTGCTGCACAGCGGGTAAGAATATATGTATATATCATTAAGATTTATAGGCTCATATATGCCTATATTCCAAACTAATTTTGCGTGTATGCCAATTACTGTAATCCCTAGGGGCAACATGGTGCCTATTGCCGATAAGTGCCAAATTTGGATGAAACATTTCTCAGTAACTAAAAATATGTGAAAACAGACAAACAAACAAATTAAGTAGTACAGAAAAAATTAGTCCACGTTTGGTGACTTCACTTTCATTATCTGTAGAACTCACTCTTTAAATAATTTATACTATTACATCACTATATCACCGTAATACTAACTTTTCAGATGTACTGATTAGTGCTAGTCGTTATGGATATGAAAATTAATATTTTACGTTACAAGTCTCTTGTGTAACAATTTGTATACTGTAAATATGTATCTAGGGGACCAAGTGTACAAAATTATATATATATATATATATATATATATATATATATATATATGACTAGTGAACTATCAAAGTCCTTAGTAGAGCAAAAATTGCATTTCTGGAAGATTGTCTCTAATTCATGCATACAGACAAATAAAAATATAAATAGGAAAATAAAAATAAATAAAATGCCACTTAATCTAAATATACTCCAACCCAAAAACTTTAATCAGTGAAACATTTAAAAAAATGAACTGAAGAGTTACAAAAGGCAGGATTTTATGGCTAACTTTAGCTTAAGGCTACTAGTGTTTCTAACGGCTTTCGAAATTACACAAATAAAAGGTCAACTTGGAACAAAAAAACTTTTTAAGTATTAGAATTTGAAACGATTACCGTCGATGGCACAGTGGTAGAATGCTTGACAACCACGCCTCATTTGGTTCCATTTTCGATCCCCTCCGATACCTTCCTAATAAAGTAATAAAACTGGTAAAGAGGGAAGGTTGGGCATGAGGCTAGCGCTGCCACCGAAACTTCAAGATGGATCTAGTTTGAAGGGCTATGTTCCACTGGGAACGTACAGAAATACGAATTTAAAAAGATGAAATAACTAATAATAATAATGATTTACTTTATTCCAAAAACAGTACTTGTGATACAGAATGGAATTTTCAGCATTAATCACAATGTTGCATCTAATTTCCTCAAATTATAAATAAAATTAATCACACAGAAAATTTCCCACATTTACAATAGAGGTAATGTCAAAAACATGCAGCATATAAAATGGAAATAGCAATAATAATGATAACAGCTAGGGTAATAATAATAAGAATACAAGTGAAAATTGCCGTTGGCTTGTATCACACAGTATTGGCAATGTGGTATAGAAATCCTAACATGTTTAAAAATATTGAGTATAATGTTCTCTTTACATGATATGGTGAGGGAAAAAACAAAGATTACAGCCGTCATGGAGATAAGTTGGTGTTTGCAATTATGAGAGTAAAACAGAGAAGTAACAGGACCATAAATATAATAGAAGTAATAAAAGTAAAACTTGAAGGTTTATAAGGATGGATGGAGGAAATTGTTTATTTACTAAATGAGGGAGAAAGGTTAGTTAATTCTTGCCTGACATTATTTTCATCACATAAAATACGTGCCAAGTATGGTATCATAGAATTCTTATACTTAGACGTGCTAAGATTATGCATTGTATTATATCCACATTCAGTCTAATAAGTTAACCTCTCATAAACCCAAAATCTACGTATCACTCCACCGAACATTTATGACACACTTTCAGAAGATTTCCCCAAAAGTTTTTTACGATAAATGTGATCAGATAATGTGACTGATTAGGGTCATCCGAGTTGAGTGTAAAGATAGCTACTAACCTTTTATATGCATGTTTTTGAGCGATATTTCGCTTCTTCAAATCATAGAATTTAAAATCTGTGGTATCGTCAGATTTGAACGCATAGAACGAGTGGTAGGTAGCATGACCATCAAATAACTTGACTTTACTGTGCTTTATTCTTGACGAGAAGACTGCTATCTACTCAAAGTTTCTCCAGTGAATTCTTAAGTGATAATATTTCGTGGTAAACAGGAGAACAAGAATGTCGTAAAACTGGATAAAGTTATAAGGTATATTGAGCAGACAGCTGAACAGAATACAACAATACAATGGTTCAAGGATTTCAGGCACTTTAGAAACTTGTTAGTTATAATTTTGAATAATGTGCGAAAATTTTGTGATGTAACTTTAAAATATTATGACAACAATAATGATAATAATAAATAATCAAAGAAACTAAGACCTAATTACAGTGAGGTTTTAACCTCAATCACTGATAAAACCAATCGGTAATTACTCGGAATTCAGACTCAGAATAAATCCTTTCTTCAAATCATTATAATGCCTAAGCCTATACTATATGATAATTTGATATAAAATATTATTAAATAAAACACTTTATTTCGACAGAAATTATCTATAATTCATGATTAAATTAGATCGGAATATTGTTCTAGGTGCACAAATTAAAGTTTTTCACCGTAACTTCTGAAACCTTCGCTTCATAAATTCATAATGATAAGGATAATAAGTTCATAATGGTATTTATTTAGTAATGTAACCACATCCTACACAGCATCATATCTCAGTGTTTCTTATTTTTAATTTTTAATCTGATCAAATACATCATTGCAGACGTTCATTGAATGCAATAAGTTGCCTGCAAAAAAGGTAAGTGAATATAATAATAATGATAATGATAATAGCTTTATTCCAAAACGGTACTTGCGATACAGAATGGAATTCTCAGCATTTTACTACATACAGTATTGCATCCAGTTAGTAAATTATAAATAAAATAAAATTCTACATAGATTAAGGATAATCTCAGTTAGTTTCGACAACAACATAGTAGTATGTCGGTAGCAAAGCCAATATTAAACAGAGTGTTTGAAGGTGGTAGAAAAGGTTCTGACATATTTTCTGCCGTAAGCAGAAGAAAGAAACAAAGCTGCACATAACAGAGATAAAGAGAGAGAGAGAGAAAAGGAAAAGAAAGAAAGAAAAAACCTTGTACCTATATATGATATGAGGAGTTGGAAAGACGAGATCCAGTTGTTCTACTAACTATTTAATAATTCATAAGTTTCACGCCTAATGCTTTCTTTCTCACACAGAACACGAGCTAAGTAGGGTTTGGGTGAGTTTTTGTACTTAAGTGCTAGTGCGAGCATATAGTTTCCTCTATAGGCTTCTGGTCTGCCTGCCTGATGAGATACAAGGGGAGAGTTGTGAATGTAGAGGGTGTTGTGAGTCAGATAAAATGGATTTTGCCCATTTTTCACATGAGTCCATGTGCGTGTCAACTAGAATATTAACAAGCTGGTTAAGTGGCACGTGGCCTACCCTGCTGACAACCTTTAACACCCTGAGTAATAAGGTATAGTCTTTCTTCAGTAGCCAGCCCTGGAAAAACTAAGGGGGAACAATAGAGAATAATAGGCAGAATACGGGAGTTAACGAATTGTAGGAGTGAGGGTTGCGTTGGTTATTCCAGAATGCCTTAACTTCTTGATATAGAAGGTAAGACGGAATATTTTCTTAGAAATCATCAAGATATGAGACGACCAGGAAAGATGAGCAGATAAAATGACGCCAAGATATTTGATTTCCGACTTGGTATCTATTTCAGTGCCGTCTATGTTGCACACCTCGTGAGTGCTAACCAGTTTGTTTAGGTCAGTCAGATTTATGCCTAAATGTGAAATTAACTGTTTGGCATTTGGAGGGCTTTAAGGTGAGACCGTTTTCCTTGGACCACTGGCTGATTTCTGATAAAAAGTCATTTAGTTTAGTACAGTCACTTTGACATTTGACAGGTAAAGATACAGTTAGGTCATCAGCATATTCGACAAAATTAATGTCATTTGAAGATGGTAGGTCATGTAGAAGGAAAGAAAAGAGAATCGGGAGAGTACAGCACCTTGGGGGACACCAGCTTCAGTGAACGCAGCAGAGGAGGATTTGCCTTTGTATACGGTGTACTGCATTCTGTTTGAAAAGTAGGAATGCAACCAGTTAGTGACCCAGGATTCAGTCTAGGTCATCGAGAGCTTCTTTAGCAAGAAACATCTAGGTACAGAGTCGAAAGCAGAAGTGAAGTCGAGAAATGTGCAGAGGACGTATTTAGCGCCTTTATCTAATGATGAGACGATACTGTTGTGTAAGACGGCTACAGCGTCTAAATTACTTCTACTCTGTCTATAGGCAAATTATTTGTGGTCTTCAAAGCTTTTAAGGGAGGGTTCGAGTTTAAGAAGTACTAGTTTTTCTATAAGCTTTAGAAACGGGGAAGTGTTGGCAATGGATCTCAGCTTTATGTTCTTGCTATTGCCGGGTTTAGGGACAGGGGCTATTTTAATGTCTTTCCATGGAACAGGTACAACGTTTTCGGAGAAAGAAGAATTCAGGATGTTAGTTAGAGGAGAACATAAACCATCTGCGCATTGTTTTAGAACATATGCAGGTATACCATCAGGGAGGAAGGTTGTGACTAACTTGTCTAAGGATTCAGTATTTAGCCAATGAATAGTCTCAGATTTTAGTTCCACATTTTGCCTAGGTCAGTCTTTGCAGTTCGATAGTAGGCATCTTAACTCTTCGCTTTATATATTGAAAATCCTGATCAAATGACCGGCGAGAAAGCAATGAGCCACTAGAAACTCTGGTAGGCGATAAACCAACCAAGAAACTATCGTCCAACGAATATGTACGAGAAAATGGAGATGGATTGAACACACACGGAGAAGACCGTCGTGTGACATCTCCCCCCCCCCACCAAATGAGAAACGACAAAGTGGTCGTGTGGCTGAAGATGAGCCATGGAGGAGGTCGTGTGGCGAGGAGGAGATGAGAGATTATGGGCAATCGTTGGCTCGGTTAAAGAGGACTGCAGAGAACACGACAAAGTGAAGATGTGTTGTTGAAGCCATTTGTTCCACTCGGAACCCAAAGAAACAATAATAATGATAATAATCGTCAGTTTTCACAAACATGAAAGTGTTCCTGTCAACTAAATTCTTACTACTTCCAAAGTATACATCTGGAGGTGGTTACATTTCATCATAATCCCTTCTAAAAAAACCAAAATATTAAGATAATTATGTGTAGCCTATTGCAAAACTTTGAATGGTATTACGAAGACTATCAGTAATGCAGGGTCATATAAATTACTTCATTTATTTGCACGACTTAAATCGATAAATTTCCGTGTAAACAAGAATAAACCTGTCGAACTGAACAACTAGCTCAATATTTTGTCTACAAACATAAGCGAATAAAACGAATTAGGATTAGTCTTGAGTATCAGGTGATGAATACAAAAGGTAAGGTGGCTTTACTGTATATCCCCACCAAGTGTAGCGTCGTAATCCGTTGTTATGGTGATTCAATGATAAGTTAAATGTTTTGCGCACTTTTTAAATGAAATTTCGCACTGAAAAGTTTCAGTGGCATTAAACTCTTGAACTGCATTACGTTTAATGCACTTTTTATCAGAATATCTTGCTTGATACTGATATCTGAGCAATGCAATGCATTAAAGGAGGCAGTACGTCCAAAAGTAAATGTATAAATTTGAATTTTTATGAAATCACGCTGGTATATATTTGGCTTATTTATGTTTAAACGCTCTAACACCCATTGGATAAAGCAGGTGGCGCCACTTCGAAAAAGGGGTATGCCATTTAACCGCTTCAGAAAGTATACATGCATACCCACAGACAAATCTCTCGAGTAGAGGTTATTCTCACTAATGCCCGTGTATAAACAAAGAGAAATAGTTAATTATTTTTAAACCACTTTGAATATTCCTAAAATATTCAGCCTCTGATCACATGTTGGCTTTTATAGTAGTATCGCTTCAACGATGCCTGTGGATTAACTTGAGGTAATTTGGTAGATAGTGACACAAGCAGTGGAATACAGGAAGTGCATTTCGTCCCGTTTGGAACTCATCAGTGGACTTGCCTCCACCCCTCAGTGAGTCATGCTATTCCCACTGCAACTTGAACCCACTACTCATTGTTTTAAGGACCAAGACATTATCCACTAGACCATTTAGACCACGAGAGCCACATCTTGTGCAACGGGGATCAACTTTCATTTAATTTTTAAGTCAGTTTTGATTTTCGCGTTGATTGGTTGTACCTCTGTTTTCACATCGCCTTCCAGTGCTTAAAAAAAAGATAGTTGATACGGACTGCACAAAAGATGGCTGTCGTGATCCATGTGGTCTAGTGTATAATGCCTTGGTGTTTGATATAATGGGTACTGGGTTCGAGTCTAAGAGGGAATATCATCACTCACTGAGAGATGCAGGTAAGTCCGCTGATGAGTTCCAGTTGGTAGGAAATGTTCATCTGGGACTACACTACTAGAGACCATCCATCAAATAACATCATTCTGACTTTCAGGCATCTTTGACGAATTTGTGTTAGGCGTCAACATGCCACCAAAGACAGAACATTTCGGCTGAATAAAAACTGACTTACAGGAGTCACAGAACAACGTATAAACCTATGACATATTTTACTGTCCCCAGATAACTGAAAAATGTTTAATTAAGTTAGCTAGTTTATTCATTGGGACACAGACGACATGTGTACAATGATAATAACACCAAAGAGTTCAGTGATCTGCCTTACTTCCATTTACCCATGGATTCCTCCTCAGTCGCTGATTGCTAAACTAGCTCAGGTTGTAAGTTATGAGTGTGTATACTGTCGCAAACTTCCAAAACAACATGAGACACCAGTCAATTTTAGCCTATTTGTCAACAGTTCTCTCAAAATGATATTACTTCGTGATAAAGTCTAACTGTAACTTTAAATACACATAAGGGAAGTTACGTTTTCTATTAAAGTATGATAAACATTTACATTTTTTCAGCGCCGAGCACACCCAAAAACCAATAAATATGTATTTATGAAAAGTATCATGATTCTTCTTCTCACAGGCAAACAGCATTAGGAATGGTAACCCTTCGTTTCAACGTATGAACGATATAGACACATACAATTTAATGTACAATTTAATGGTTAGTCATTTTAGGACAACCCATATCTTGTTATAGGTTTCCAGACCGTAGGCGTTACGAACTTCATGGAATAATTTGAGCGCCGAGTCAGATTGATTCATGATAAATTATTTAAATTAATCCCAGTGTGTTAAGAAAATCAAAACAAGATTTTTCTGAATGTTTCGCCATGCAAGCCACAGCTTCTTCAGCAGATTTATTCGGATTTTTATTATCTTGTTATCGTAACCTGATTCAGATGAATGAGTATTCTTGACCAGTTGTTTTCTTTCTAATTTGATCACTAGACTGAGAAGATTACATCGTCCTAGTTTTCATGTGTTGATTTATTAGGATTAGATTTGTCTTTTGAGTTTAACCGCGCATTGATATCAGTTGGAGAACCATTGAAAACCAGTTAGGAAGTGTACTGGAAAGCTGTTTTATCCTAGGTTGGGAGTCATTGGCAGTACGCAACCACTGTCAGGACCTTCTGGTTACAAGGCAATGGATTTCCCACCGATGATAATGGTTGATGGTTGTGGTAAATTCCCGAATTGCCAGAAATTAGAATTCATGGGCTAGCCATTGAATCGAGTCCCAGTGACTGAATGGTGTACGAGCTTGCTAGCCTTTCAATTAGAAGGTCCTGGCTTCGAAACCTTACAGTGGGTACTTACTTCTGATGATTCCTAAAAAGCTAGGATGAAAAAGCTGTCCAGTACTTCCTGACTGGTTTTCAATCATTCTCTAACTGATATCAATCCATGGTCAAACTCAAAATATAAATCCAGTTCTTACAAATTAAGCTGATGCTCTCTAGTGACCGGTTATAGGACCAATTTGCTTGGAGCTCTAGTAAGAATCAGTAACCAGCGTCATTTTAGTTTACTTTCTCTGAAGATGAAAAATGTTGTGTAACAACTGATCATCTTTATAACTGTAATATTAACCTATGTATATTTTATTTTTAAATTTCAGAAAATGTCGCCTATAAAATAGTATTTTCCCTTCTCTTTTTTAGATGGGTCATTATTACTATTACTTCAGAGTACTAAGTTTACTCCTCATATCCTATCAGGTGTTGTGTATCCTGATGATGAATACACAAGCAACTAGGCATTGTGTTAATATGATAAATAATGAAGGCAAACCAATACTTTCATGTGATAATAGAAAATCAAATATGAAGCAACCAAGTGTTAGTGTGAATGATAATATTCAACCAAATGATTTCACCTCTGAATCATATTATGCTAATGACAATGATGATGAGGATGATTACAATTCATTTCGACAGAAACAATCCCATCAATTGATACCAGATGATTATGAGCCTATTTCAAGTCAAGATGAATATGGCTATCTTCGAAACACCAAAAAACGTGGATTTGTTCGAATCGGTAAACGTGGATTTGTTCGAATTGGTAAACGTGGATTTGTTCGTATTGGACGATAAATGAATTAAAATTACGATGATAATAATAATAATACTGATAATATTATTAACAATTGTTAATTATGATTCATAAAAAAAAGATTCTATTTAAAAATTCAGACTATTTAAGACTATTTAATTGCTTGAGTAAATAAATAAATAAATTTATTAATGAATCAAACAGTAGAACTTTTTTCAACTAACGAACTGTAAAACTCTTTCTGCTATTAGTATTACTGTTGAAGATTAATTTAAGTGTGTTTTTTTCCTTCTTTGTTCATTTACTACTGAAGTAAGAAAAAATTATCATCCTCTCATAAGGTTTTCATTTTGCCTACGAATTGATTTCAGTTAGAACAGTACACTAAAAACCACGAGAGAAAGTAATGCAAAGCTGTCCCCCCCCCTAGTTTGGCACTTTTAAGTACTTACTACGCACCCATGAGTCAACCAGAGATAAGAATCAAGACTCTTAGGTTACACTGCGAGCTTGTCGATCAATCAGTCACTAATACAGAACCCAATTCTAACTTCTTCCATTTCGCATGATATATAGAGCTCCCATTGGGCAATGTCATCGGTTGGTATCTCTTCTCATTCCCAACTTAGTGAATTCCTTTGATAAAAGCTTCCCACTACAACTTCAGGTGACTTGACCCTGTAGTGAAGTCACTAATGAGCCTAATGTTCCTGAATTTTTGAATTATCTTTGCTACTTACTTACTTAATTTAGATCAAAGAAATCTCAGTTGGGCTAAACAGCAAGCTTACTGAATACTTAGAATACCGTGTGAATAACAAAATCACTACTGAACTATAGTAGACATTCTGAATAATATAAAAGGAGTTTTCAACTAACCAAGATGCATGGTGTTCCATTTCAAACATATATCAGGATGGACAACAGGTTGAAATGGGACTTGATGCTTTCCACCATGACTGCCTAATTCTGCATTGTTCACTGGTGGGTAGTACTATGCATCTCAAACTATAGAGCTCAGCACCATCGAAAGTTTTTCCCATTTCTTCGACAATCTTAAAGTTTTTTTAAGATAGTTACAATGAAACTCATTTAGTTGGTTTGAGGATTTCCTCGTGAACTGACATCAGTTAGAGAACCATTGGAAAACCTGTAGGGAAAGCATGACAGCTGTCTCGTCAGCCTAGTTCAGGATACGAACCGAGCACCTTCTGATTACAAGGCTAGTGAGCTTGTAGACCACTAACCCACTGGAATCCGATTCAATGGCCAGCCCATGAATTCTAACCTCTGCCAATTCACGACATAGCGCAACCATTTAGCAACATCTTCGATAAGTAACTGTCCTCACATTCAACCCGCTGCCTCCTACTGGTCACGACTTCCCACTAGAACCCTATGTCACTTTCTGAAGAAATCCTCCAAACAAATCAAACAAAACCCCTACAAATCAATGCTTGAAATTCCCTTAATTCATATTTCACTAGTGATTGTGTCAGGCATATTTTAATTCAATAGAATTTTTCTCTCCTCATATTGTTCAAAAAAGAAACCTAACTAGCCTCCGGTTTTGTATTGTTTTTTTCATATAAATGCCATGATAAAAAGAATTTTTTTAATGGTTTCACCTTTTCAATATTACTTCGGCTAGACAAACTTTCATTTTCATGAGTATTATTATTATAACTATTTCAATAAGAGATGAGTTCCGCTCCAATTTTTTAAAGTTTCATCAGATAATTCTTGCGAAAAAGTACGTTTTTCATCAGTTTAGCTTTCGTCTTACCTATAATTATACTTGTTGAATAAAGGTGAATACGCAAACAAGCCCTTATACGTCCTCCACAATCGAATGAAAAATTGGAATTCACTTGTTTCGATACCATTTAATATCAGTAAACTGATATCCCCTAAATATGGGATAAATTATTGATATCTAACCATTGCAGCATGTATTGCATTGGAATTTGAATTATCCAGCAAATTATACAATAATCATCGTAAAATCCTGTAGAATGAAATTATTTAGTCAGCTAAAATAGTTGTCCATTTTCTTTTGAGTAGGTTGAGCTGTACAAAAATTGGAAGAGAATCTTTCTGCGAAAACAACACAAATGATTAAAATGGTGGTGATCCAGTTGCTTCACAGCGAATTAATCCATGACTAACTTTCAGCTACACCAAATTTGTAATAGTTTGTCAGTTATAAGTTGGGCGCCAGTTTCACCAAGAAGAAGCGTTTGCTTGGCAGCTTGAAGTGATTTAAATATTTGGCAGGCATTTTGGTCATTTAGGGCCGATCGCATCAATTGTGTGTCTGATTCGACTCAGATGAGACACCCTAATTTTATCCAGCTAATTGGATGAACTACTCATATAAATTATTCAGTAGTATGCAACTGTTTGTCAGGTTGAGATCTTTGGGATCGAACAGATCACATAGTGTGATCTGAGATATTTTCGGTTTCGTACGGAAACAGGAATGGAATTTCACCGGAAATTGTGTGAATTGTGAGTAGCGAGTTTCATTTGCAAATCGCGCTTTTTTATTATGTGTATAACCAGTTTGCCCAAGTACTTCGACATAATTAAGGTAGTTAGAGGTTATTCGGCTCTGTGACTTGAGTCAAACGGAGCAGACGGCTGGTGAGCTTGACCCTAAACAAGGAAAGCGGCCACCCTTTATTTAGATCAGTTCCATCTGGCTAGCAAGCATTACTGGTTGACGTTAGTGTCAACAAACTACTCATTTAGAACAAGAAATATAGGCGGGTAATATTGTTCAGGCTTTTCTCTAATTTACACAGATTTATGTATAAAAGGTTTAACCGATGACGGTAATTTTAGGGATGATATAATAACAATAATAGTGTGTTGCATGTTTTGAATGTCAGTATAAAGATAATTATAACTATAATAAGATTTATGCAGGTGGCTATAAGAATAACGAAAGTGGTAATATGTGTAAATACAGACAATTCAATAAATAAATTAGGTCAAATCTGAAAAGTTACGTAATACTAGTGGTGAAGTGGACAGGTAATCAGAGTTTAAATAAATATCAGGAAAGCACGAAGGAAATGGAAAGTAAAAAGGGGTGAGAGGGTTCTAATTAGAATTTACCAAGGCAAGCGAAGAAAAGGCAGAGGTAGAACAAACTTCTTTTGTTGTATGCAAAGACTAAGAATGTTCTCTCGAATTAATTCCCATAGCTTCAGCTATGTGTAGGAGGCGGGTTCGGAAGGCTCGATGGAATGCGATAGATAACTTGATCACCGCTATCAATCCAATGAGACAAAATAGAACTTCGTATAGATTTTATTTGACCTTTTCCGAACCATGAAGGAAGATGTTCATTAATACGTTTGGTGAGCTGTCTAGTTGTTCGCCCTATATAGCTACATCCACAGGTACAGCCAAAATTGTAGATACACATAGAAGTGGCACAGCTAGGGAGTTTGTCATTCGCTTGAACAATCCCAATTGGTCGCCTGGAGAATGACGAGCAAAGGGTGGCGGCAGTTTAATTTCGTTTTATTTCTCTCGATAATCTTAGACGTAGGACTTCACTAGACACGTCCCCATTGAATTGCGATTTTGGGAACAGTTGTTTCTTTTTAGCTGTTGTCAGTTTCTCTTTATTATATCGGGTGTTCATGTGTAACCTCACAAATCTACTAGCAAAACCCATTTGGACTAGCGTATTTTGGATGTATCCTAACTTATTTTCTAGGAAGTCATCTGTCCAGATTCATTTCGCTGTATTCGTGAGACGTCTGACCAAACTGATTTTGTATCAGATTGACATTAGAACTGAGGAAATATGTATATTGTTTTACATATGTAGGTTTTCTATAGACATCTCTCTTGAGTGAACCATCCTTTTTTCTGCTCAATTAGACATCAAGGAAGTGTAGTCTACCATCATGTTCTTCTTCTTCACAAGTGAAGATGAGCGATGGATATGCATCATTAAATTTTATTAACATTTCATTCACTCATATTGACCAGTTAGTAGTATCACTTTCAACTATCTACACCACACAAATATGTGTCTCACAGTCAGCAACCCGCCAATCAAATTTAGTTCACTGATAAGAATGCAAGACGGAATTCTCTGTATTAAACATTTAGAAAATAACCAGTACAAAAGTGAATTTGTAGGGATCTGATTGATTTTAAGTTTTTATCATAGATTAACCTCATTTAGAGAACCACTACAAAACCAGGGAACACTCGATAGTTGTTTCGTCTTAGTTCAAGACTCATCAATGGTGTGCATCCACCAAAGTTCAAACCTAGGAAATTCCGGTTACAGGAAAAGCTGGTGGGCCACTGAGCCACCGAGAATCAAATTAGTAGACAACCCAAGAATTTAAACTTCTACCAATTCGTGATTTTAGCACGCTACATTCGACCTAGTTAATCTGCAATTCTAGTGAGAAGTTGTAACCATTGGGTTCCATCCGGTTAGGAGTGAGGACAATTACCCACCAATGATATTAGCAAGCTAGCTGATATAGGTTCAGGTTGGAAAAGAGCCAGTGGTGGCCAAACAAAAACATGGCATCAGTCCATGAAATCCTTGACAGTTAAACTGAGTCAGGTAGAGAGATGCAGACTCCCGTGTTGGGGCCCTCGGGACTCTAGGAATGAATGGCTGGAGACAATAGGTGACATGGCTCAAAATCGTTGTCAATGGCGCAGATGTATTCAGTCTCTGTAATCTTTCATATTCCTTTCTACCATTACCCATTCTCTTTCACTCTTATACTTGTCGAACTCTATTAATTCTCTTCACTCATCTTCTTGTCTACCTCTGTGGGCTATTTGGAACGTGGCAACTCGAACTGCTGCACTTCGGTGCCAAGTTCTATGTTGAATCCAGACAGACAGACAGATATTAGCAAATGGTTGCGCTGAAATCATTACAAAAATATCCACTTTCTAATTATTCATTCTATTTTTAATATTAGTTCTCGATTAAATACGACGAGCTGCTTTCCTCTTGTACAATACATAATTTGCCCATTAACTGGTTACAAGTTTGCTAACAGTCCATAAACAAGAAAGTGGTAATTAACAAAAGAAAGTTTTTTTAGAAAAAAAACCATATTTAAAAGCCAGAAATAATTACACAGTAAAATCAAGCAAATTAATTACGCAATACGTGATTTCAAAATGATAAAAAAATGAGAAGAATGTGTATAAAAAACAGTTAAAAAATTAATTATGTAGTAATATTCAAACATTAATAAAAGGCCA